TCGGCTCCCTTGCATCCCGTAGCCGCTGCTGCCGTCGTCTCCACCCCTCAGTTGGCGGCGACGGAAGTCCTCCTCCAGAATCTTCGTCCGCACCCACTCGAGCGTCCACAAGCTCTGGTTCTGCGGCAGGCTCAATCCGCTCGTAAATTGAAGCCACGATTCTGGCAGCAGCGAGAGCATCTTCAAGCACTTGGTCTGCTCCGGGTAGGTGATTCCCGCGGTCGCCAACTTTGCGTAGAGGTCGCGCATCTTGTCCAGGACTGGTTGCACCGGCTCTCCCTCGCTCAGGCGCAACGCGGACAGCTCCCTCTCCAGCATCAACGTTGCGACAACGGAGGTCGGGGCGTGCAGCTCCTTCAACACGGTCCACGCCTTCGGACCGCATTCAACCTCCGGCAGCAGGTGCATGACGTGGTGACGCTGGTTCAGCTCCAAACTCTGCGACATCAAATAGTAGCCAGCCGAGGAGCGCTCGTCCCAATCTTCCTGCAGCGTGGGGTCACTCGGTCTAGGCTCCTCCCCAATCATTAGTTTCAGCAAACCGATCTGACGGAAATATAATTGCATTTTCCAGGCCCAATCATCATAGCCCTCACCATTGAACTTCTCGACGGTGAAATTCTTCAGCACCTCCTTAACAAGCGAGCCCTGGTTTGTTCGCGCTCCCCTTGGCGCTGAAAGACCAGAATCTTGGCTGCCGCTACGATCTTGGGCTGAAGATTCACCAGCTCCCGCCGAGGTGTTGCCCGCCATAGCTACCTATAACGAGGATCACTATAACGCAGCTCTGATACCAGCTTGTTGGTGTAAGGGCCTAATAAACTCAAGCTATTAGGACTTAATCAAACTTAAAACCTCTCCTCGGGGTCACCTCCAAGGGTCCCTGGGTGCCTGGTACAAGACCAGCCCCTATCCTCGGGTCCGAGTTTGTAGAGAGAGGGATCAAGAAGGACTTAGTCAAAACAGCAAGAGTACCTTGAACGTCGCGCAGCGTGCCATGCAGACCGTCGATCGGATTAAGCTGAGAATTCGCTATATCGAAGCTCGCTCCAAGAGCTTTAAAATGAGCCAAGTTGCCTCGCGAAAAGTTCTGCCATTACGAAGTTATGGCTCAGACGGTGTTTGCCTAGCATTAGAGTGCTAGCGTACTAGCGTTGACTCGGGTAGCATTCCGCCAACGAATAGCGCAGAAACGAAACTCCAGCGAGGAAGGAATTCGCTTGAATCAATTTTACTATATTCAGGTACAAACAGAGAAGGATTAAATAGTTCTAGCTAGCAAGGACCTTGGGAATCAACCTGGGAACAACCAGGGATGATCCCAAATAATTCCAAGCAACAGAACCAACCTGGCTGGACAAAATAGCAGGTGGTAGGTTGGTAAACAACCTCTGGTTCTGTTTTTCCAACCTGGGAAAAACAACAACCAGGTTCAGGTTCTAAAAACAGAACCTGTTTTGTCTTTGCCCAACCAGCCAAATGCTGGTTCCGCTGGTTTCCCCTGGCCTTGTAGCATGCAGATACAGACAAACAACATCCAACCTTCACCTAAATTGTACCCCTATAGTGCCTTCCCTGCTACACTATAGTTAACCAAACAAAACAGTACAATTTCGAGTTGGATAGAACTGAATCTGCGCAATCAACTCAACCGAACTGCAAAGCTTCCATCTTGGGTTCCTTTGCGAGCTCGTCCTTTCTGCTTGCACTGTTCATAGCGCGTACAATGTTGTGCCGAAGCGCACATTGCGCGAGTACCTGCAAATGCATCAAGCGAAAATTGCGAAAGCAAACAAACACACGAACATTCCATTCACACCCAAATGCATTCGCACACGCATACTCGTACAAACAGACGGCAGGATGTCGTGCAATGTAAATTTGCACCCAACAGCCTGGCAGCAGTGGTAGCGGAGGTGGGAAGCCGACCAAGGACGCCGACAAGGGGGAGTCGGCAAAGGACAGCAGTCGTGGAGGAGGAAGTCGACGCCGGGAGTGCTGGCTGTGCAGCGGCCCTGATCACCTCTCCTTAGAGTGTCCCGACCGCACCGACTCTGACGACAACAACACCAAGGGTGGCCGAGGGAGGTCGGCCGGTCCTCGCCCTCGTCGGGAGAGCAAGCCGCGCAAGGAGAAGCAGTCGACCAAGTCGACATCAAAGGATGCCGACTCCTCCTCTGGCGGCAAGGGGCGTGACGTCGGACCGGCGTCGTGCTCACTGGTCGGCGTCGTGGAGCCGACCATCTCGCTGGCGCCGGAGGCCGGTGAGGACTTCCAGGCGGTGGCGGCAGCCGTGCAGGCGAACCCGGCGGTGGTCCTGCTCGACAGCGGCTTTTCACACCACCTGATGGGGACGAAGGCGGCCTTCGTCGACTTGGGGCCGAGCGGCGACGTTAAGCATGTGCACGGCCACTTCAATGGGGCGCTGCAGGACGTCCACGGCGGAGGCACTGTCGCCTTGCAAGGAGAAGTCGGGAAGCAAGTGCTCATCCTTGACGTGCTTTACATCCCGAGTGTGCAGGCGAACCTTTTATCGGTTGGCCAGCTGAAGGAGAGCGGCGTGAAGCTAACGTGCGACGGTGATGGGATGCTCCTCATCTTGGCAGCGGGGGACGTTCTTGGTCGGCAACGTTCACCGGCCGGGTTCTTTGCACCGACCTTCGTCCCTGCTCGACGAAATCGACCTCGGCATCGACTGCAGTAAAGGCTCTGCGGGCGATCGTCTTGGCGACGAAGTCGACGCCGGCCAGATGGCACGCGAGACTTTCTCATGTCGGCATCGACACCATCCAGAGCTCGGCAAAGCACGAGGTCACCACCGGCCTAGACATCCAGCCGTCGACCAGCAGTGACTCTCCGTGTGTCTCGTGCGTCGGCGGGAAGCTGGTGCGGCATACCTTCCCTGACAAGGGCTCCGACGCCGGCGACAGTGCACATCGACTTGTGCGGGCCATTTCGGGTGGCTGCCAAGGATGGCAGCTTGTACTTTCCGCTGCTGAAGGATTGGAAGACCCTCTACATGTGGGTGAGGCCAAACGCCTAGAAGTCTGACGTGCTGCAGGAGTTTAAGAAGTGGCTAGTGGTGGTTGAGCGGCAGACAAAGAAGTTAGTGCTGATGCTGCGCTCTGACCGGGGCAGGGAGTTTCTCGGACAGTTCACCGACTTCGTCGATGACAAGGGGATCAACCACGACTTGACCTGCCCCTACACACCGCAGCAGAATGGCATAATGGAGCGGGAGATGCGGACGGTGGTGGAGTCGGTACGGACGATGCTGCTGCACATGGGCGTGCAGCACCACTGGTGGCACCTCGCCCTGCGGCAGGCCGTCTGGGTGCGCAACTGCTTGGAGAGGTCGACGCTGCCACCGGAGACGACTCCGTACCAGCTGCTGACCGGTAAGAAGCCCGACCTGAAAAGCCTAGAATTTGGTGCACACAACAACCAAAAAGCCTAGAATTCGGTGCACTCAACCTAGTTCAGGTGCCTATAACTATTATGAATATATTAAAAGCAACGAACCTAGGAGATCAAGCAAAAGCAAGCAAAATAAAAGAAAGCTCGGCTAGATAATGCGTAATAAAGCAGAATCAAGCTAGCAAAGCCTAGCAAAGCTGTCATACTCTCACACGTCCCCCCCTCAAAGCTGGGTGGCATGAGATACACCCTGCTTGACAAGATAATCCTTGAGAGCACGTCTTGCGTTGCCCATATCAGCTTCTGCAACTCAACTATCCTCCGATGGGTCATATCCCTTCCAGCGTATCAAGAACCCAATCGTGTTGCCGTGTCTGCGTCGATGAGCGAGCACTCGGTCCACCTCGTACTCTGGTTTATCCTGTATGAAAATAGGTGGTGGTGGCGGTAGCTGTCGTCCCTGAAACTGTTGGTTGGGGTCCTTGTAGGGTTTCAGTAGCTGAACATGGAAAGCGTTGTGAAGCTTCCACGTAGTAGGTAAGCGCAAGCGGAATGTAACTGGTGTCACCTGTGCCTCCACGAGAAATGGACCACAGAAGCGAGGCCGGAGCTTGGAAGGTAGGTGTGACAGGTTCAAGCTGCACGTGTCGTTAAGCACCTGATCTCCGACTCCTACCGAGTGATCTCGTCGTTGGCGATCGGCATACTGCTTCTGGGAGTTTTGCATCGTGGTGAGACGTCGCTGAGTCTTCTCCCATAGCTGCTGCATGGTGGTGACGAAGTTGTGTGCGGCTTGGACGTGTGCCGGTGTGGTTGGCTGTTGTGGTGTAAGTGGTTCCAGTCCATAGGACAGAAAGAAAGGAGATTTTCCTGCAGCCGCATGCGAAGCGTTGTTGTAAGCGAACTATAATGTCGGTAACTGTGAATCCCAGTGGCTGATGTCGTCTTTGCAAGCTGTGCGCAGTAACTGTTCAACCACCTGCTTGAGTACTGCGTGTGTTCGTCAGTCTGGGGGTGGTACGCTGAAGACATCGCAAGCTTTGTCCCCAACAAACCCAGAGTTCGCTCCATAACTTACTTGTGAATTTTGGGTCTCTGTCTGAGATGAGTGTAGCGGGGATGCGGTAGATGGTGATGATGTGGTCGAAGAAGAGGCGAGCAGTTGCTTCAGTTGTAGCCGTGGCGTTGGTCAGAATGAGACGTCCCATTTTAGAGAACTTGTCGATCACCACGAGTATAGCGTCATGCCCTCGTGAGGTCGAAGAAAGTGCCGTGATGAAGTCGAGGCTAACGACTTGCCATGGCTGCTCCGGTACGGGTAGAGGCTGAAGTAACCCTGCCTTTTTCTGCTTGCTACTCTTCATCCGCTGGCACGTGTCGCATGAGGTGACGAACTGCTGCACGTCTGCTGCCATCCGGTGCCAGTAGTAATACGTTGCTATTCCCGCTAACGTCTTCTTACTCCCGAAATGTCCCGTGTATGCCACATCGTAGAACTCCTATTATAAGATCTGTCGGAGCGGGGCATAGTTCGGCACCCAACTTTTTCCTGATCCCTTTCTTACAGCTAGGTCGTTCTCCCACTATAACAGGTTTTGTTTCTCTGCTGTAGCGATCTCTGCGTCCACAGAGTATCCATGTTGGTATAGTCCCTTGAGCAGAGGGTTCATCCCATTTGCATGTCCGGGGCGGCTCAACGCGTCTGCTTTGTTGTGTAGCCCGGGCTTGTAGACAATGTCGTAGTGGAAGTGGGTCTCCAAGAAGTCCACCCACCGCACCTGTCGTCGTGAGAGCGTCGGCTGCGACTTCAGGTATTTGAGGCTGCAGTGGTCAGTGTAGACTGTAGTCTTGGCTCCCTCTAGGTAACACCTCCATGCTTTGAAGGCTACAACTATGGCTAAGGCTTCCTTGTCGTGAATGGGGTAGTTCAAATCTGCTTCGTGTAATTTTTTACTGAGGTAGGCGATGGGTTGCAAACCGCGTCCGTGATCCTGCATCAATACTGCTCCGACTGCCTGGTCACTAGCGTCTGCTTCCACCACGTAGTCCTTGTCTGGATCCGGTAGGATGAGTACTGGCGCTGTAGTCAGTGCTGTCTGTAGCTGCTCCATGGCTTGCTGTTGAGGAGTATCCCATTTATAGGGCGTATCCTTTTTCAGTAGGTTGGTCAGTGGTGCTACTATCTTAGCATAATGTGGCATGAACCTGTTGTAGTAGTTGGCGAAGCCTAGGAACTGCTGCAACTCCTTCATATTCTCCGGTACTTTCCACTTTTTAACGGCTTCAATCTTCCGCGGGTCCACGTGTACGCCCTCCGCACTCACCATGTGCCCAAGAAACTGCACCTTCTTCAGTGCGAAGTCGCTCTTCGACAGCTTCACGTAGAACTTATTTTTCCGCAGGATCTCGAACACCTTCCGCAGATGCTCCACGTGCTCCTTCATGTTCTTGGAGTAGATGAGGATATCGTCCAGGTACACCACTACGCACTCGTCTAGCAGGGGCCGTAGGATATGGTTCATCTCCGCCTGGAACATCGCTGGTTCGTTGCAGAGTCCGATCGGCATCACTAAATATTTGTAGGAGTCATATCTGGTACAGAATGCCATCTTGTGAATCGAGTTGTCCGCCATCTTGATCTGCCAGTAATCCGATTGTAGGTCCAGCTTCGAAAACACCGACATACCACGCAGTTGGTCTAGAAGATCGTCTATGCGCGGTATGGGGTATTTGTTCTTGACTGTCTGTTTGTTCAGTGCGCGGTAGTCGATGCACATCCGTAAACTACCATCTGGTTTTGGAGTAAAGAGAAACGGTGCACCGAAGGGGGAGGTGGATGGGCGGATCAGTTGTCTGTCCAGTAGATACTCTATCTGCTTCTTCATGTCTGTCAGTTCTGTCGGACTCAGTCGGTATGGTGCATGTGAGACGGGTTTCGCACCTGGTTCCTCCACGATCTCGTGCTTGTAACGCGTACGGAGGTACGCCTGCAGGTAGTGTTGAAACTAGCAGACGAGAATGATGCATTCAAATGAGAGTTGGGTACAAGTATCAAACCCTAGAGGGGTTGTACCCCATATTGGCTACCCCACTACAGCCTACACATATATATTACATATATAATTTGACACACCCCCATAGGCAAAGTGGGGGAGAGCAAGGGGTCACAAAACCAGTCAAGAGAGACAAAAGCAAGCCCAGGTGGATCACAACGTCACCACACAGTCTGAGCACAAGCAAAGGGCCACACATGCAGTGATCACAGCCTAGAAGCATAAGCATGCAAGGAAATATATAGATCACAGTACAAGCAAGGTCAAGCAGTAAGCAAGTGAGGGAACGCAGTATAGTGCTGCTGATGGTCACTAGGCGGAAGCGCCTTGGTGAATATATCAGCAGTGTTGGCCCGCGAGTCCACGTACACAAGACGAAGCTGGCCACGCTGCTGCAGCTCTCGAGCAAGGAAGTAGCGTAGAGCAATGTGCTTCGTTCTGTGCTCCAGTCTATGCTCCTGACACAAGGCAAGGGCTGCCTTGTTGTCGCCGTACAGAACTGGAGGAGAACGAGGCTGCTCTCCCAAGTCAGTCAACAGGTAGGTGAGCCAGCGTAACTCCTGTGCAGCCATGGCTGTGGCGTAGATTTCAGCCTCACAACTGGAGCTGAGAACAGAAGAAGAGCGGGTGGACCGCCAAGAAACAGAACCAGAGCCAAGGCTGAAGGTGTAACCCTGCGACGACCGCTGCGTAGTCTGGTCGTCAACCCAAGAGGCGTCTGAGTGTCCAGTGAGGACAACTGGGCCCCGTCCTCCAAGCACCAGCCCCATGCCTGATGTACTGCACAAGTAGCGCAGCACCCTCTTAGCAGCCTCCCAGTGCTCTCGCCTGTGTCTCCCAGGCGCAACGTAGCGAGCTAGGATGCTAAGAGGGTACGCAAGGTCAGGTCGAGTGCAAGTCATCAGGTACATGAGGCAGCTCACAAGCTCTGGGTACGGGCCACTCGGCTCTACGGACTCGTCCGAAGGTGGAGCTGAGAGCGAGTGGCTGGTAGACAGAGGAGTGGACTGTGGTGAGGAGAACTAGAAGCCGAAGCGCTGAAGGACCTGCTGCACCATGTGTGACTGAGTCAGGGTGATGGTGCGGCGTGCTCTGTCCCGGGTGATCTGCAAGCCAAGGTAACTGTGCAGCTCACCCAGGTCTGTGCATGTGTGTCTCTTCTGCAGCTCCGACTTCACAAGAGCGAGTGCCTCAGTGTCAGCAGTTGCAAAGACCAAGTCGTCGACGTACACGAGGATGTAGAACGGCAGCAGTGACGTGTCTGTACGTAGGAACAGTGACGGGTCTGCAGTGGAAGGAGCAAACCCAAGAGCCGCAAGCGTCGTCCTCAGTGTGTCGTGCCACTCGCGCGGCGCCTGGCGGAGACCGTAGACTGGCCATCGGAGGCTCCATTGGGTACCAGGAGGGAACGACCCAGTGAAGCCAGGAGGACGGCGCAGCCAGATCTCCTCGTGCAGGCTGCCCTGCAAGAAGGCTGTGCTGAAGTCAAGAGAGTGAAGCTCGTAGTCACGCTGAGCGGCAACGTGCAGCAGCACCCGAAGAGTGGTCATCTTCGGAGTAGGGGAGAAGGTCTGGAAGAAGTCAACTCCCTGCCGCTGACTGAAGCCTTGAGCAACGTAACGAGCCTTGAAGACAGGCGGAGAGCCCGGCGGCCGCTTCACCCTGAAAATCCACATGCCATCGACGATGTTCGCCCCAGGGGGGGGAACCTCATCGACGTAGGTGCCTGTGGACTTCCAGGATGCCATTTCTGCGTCCATGGCTGTCTGCCACTGAGAGGATTAGGGACCCGAGACTGCCTCTGTGTAAGAGCGGGGGGTAGGGATGTCCAGTGCATCCGGGTCTCCCTCAGGGGCAAGCAGCCAGGCCGTGAGATGAGGTACAGCAGCCGCAAGACAGTCAAGGTCCTCCTGCCTGTCCTCAAGGATGTCCGTGCCAAGAGCACACTCACCCCCGACGGACGGAGGACAGACAGACTCAGACTCAGCAACAAGACTGGCAGCGTAGTCTAGACGACAGGCAGCAGCAAAGTCAACAAGCTCAGCAACCAAGGCAGACGCAGCAGCAGACTCAAACGAAGGGTCAGTGACAACTAGGGCCAACAGACGCGTGACAGTCGGGTGAGCAGAACGAACGGCGTCAGACTCAGGGTCCGGAACGTCAGGCAAAGAGGACGCAGGAGGAGACGGCAGGGGGACACGCTGTGGAACACAGGAAGGACGAAGTGTCATCTGGTGCATGCCGGGGACAGGAGGAGGACGCGGACGCGGAACACGGCGACCAGTGCGAGCAGCGCAAACAGGTGAGACAGGACGAGACACAGGCGGACGACGCTCTGTAAGAGACTCAGGCTGCTCAGTGTAAGGAGGAGGAGCAGGCAGTGGGGAGGCAGGCTGTAACTGTGGCTGGGACTAGTCTGGCAGTGGACACAGGTCAGTAGAAGACGGGAGACCAAGAACCTGGCGAAGTAGGGGGACGAAGTACGGTCGTCGTCGCACAGCGTCTCCAGCACCAGTACCAACAGCTCCAACAGCAGGACCAGCTCCCACGCCAGCAGCTCCAGCGCTTCTAGGATCAGCAACTCCAGCCACGGCACCACCAGCAGCCGAAACTCCAGTACCAGTAGCACTCCCAGCTCCGGCAGCTCGAGCACCAGAAGTGCGAGCACCTCCGGAGCCAGCAGCGCTCGAACGTCCAGCAGCCTCAGCACCAATGTCTCCAGCTCAAGAACCACCAACTCCAGCAGTGCGACCCTGACGACGAGCGTACCACTCATGGAGCTGCTGCGGGGAAAGAGGCGCACGCAGGGTGGAGGGCTGCAACGAGGCGCCAGCAGTGCGACTCCGAAGACGACCGCTCCAAGGAGACTGCTCACCAAGCACCGCAGCACCCCCAGGCATAGCATCCCCAGGCTCAGCACCCTCAGGCTCCGCACCCCCAGACTCAGCACCCTCAGGCTCCGCACCCCCAGGCTCAGCACCCCCAGGCTCCGCACCCCCAGGCCCAGCACCCCCAGGCTCCGCACCCTCAGGCTCAGCAACCCCAGGCTCCGCACCGCTAGGCTCAGCCCCCCATGCTCAGCACCCCCAGGCTCCGCACCCCTAGCAGCACCCGAGTCATCAGTGACCTCAAGAGGCTCAGCCATACGTGTTGGGCGCGGCACGGGCAGCTGACCGAATCGTTTGTTTTCTTCCCCGAAAATGCAGTAAGTGGTTACAGCGAGCTCCTCTTTGGTCATGCCAGTGGGTTCCTCCTCGGCGCTTTCTGCTTCCTGGATCGCCACGTAGTTTCTTTCAACTTGCTCCGTGCGGCTTGCCGTGGGTGTGTGACAGGTGGTGCAGAGACCGTTGATGTCAGGCTCGTGCAGGTTGATCTCTCGGGGATGAGGGATCCGGCGGACCCACGGTCGCCCATCTGGATGCTGCCACGATTCCTTGTTCATGAAGGCGAAGTGGAGAGGGACGAGATCGACGAGCTCGTCGGATGAAGATTGACTGCTCGGTATGTCGAAGTCCAGTACGTAAATCCCGTTGATTGAGCGGGCTCGTCCGAGGTATTTAAATGACTCAGGAGGGGTGTCCGGAGGAGCACAGGTGAGGATGAGGTCGCGTGTGGCTAGGTCCGTAGTGAGTATGACGCCGCAGTCACAAAGTTGCCCTGCCGAGAGCAGATTGAAGCGAAGATTCGGGACGTAGAGCACGTCGTTGAACGAGATGTGCGTGTTGCTGTCTCGTGCTTGCAGGACCACGATGCCTTGTGTGTTGGCGCGCAGCTGATGATTGTTGGCGACGGTGATGTAGGTTGCGGGGGCACGGCTCAGATTCGAAACGTATCGAGTGGATCCCACCATGTGCTGTCCGTAGCAGCTGTCCAGGTACCAGGTGTTGTAGTTGTTGGTGTTGTTATTGCGCAGGAGCAGCGCGAGTCGCGGAGTCACCAGTGTCGCCTTGTAACGTCTGTAGAAGGATGGGTCTTCATCCTCCTTCCATCCCACAGGTACGTAAAGCTGATTGTCATGTGGCAGGCTTTCCCGCAATGTGATTGGCTGATTTCAATCTTTCTCGTCTTCATCATACTGGTAGTAGTGGTCTTCAGTGAGAGGATTATTCCATCCTTCTTCTGGCTGAAGCAGTCCTCCTTCGAGTTCGTCCTCTTCGTCTGGTTCAGCGGTGCGGCGACGCCGTGTCGCCATGTTCGCTATCACGTTTCTAGAAGCTCCCCCTTGGGCTGTGCTTGCTGTGGTTGTTGCTGTGCAGGAGGATGGGAAGTCTGTTGTTGAGGCTGAGAATGACGAGCGTCTTGTCGGCCGACCCAGTTGTTATGGTGAGTGGAATTCGGGTGGCGATAGTTGGATCGGGATTTGCATCGATCCGTTGAATGTCCGAAGACTTTGCATATTTTGCAATAGTGGCGCCTTGGTTGTCGTCGCTCTTCACGGTTGTCTGCGTAGAAGGCGAGGCGCTCTCAGCCAGCGCGGAGCTTGTTCTGCTCGAATCCATGTCCTGCTGTTTAGTCAGTGGTGCGGCGCATAGCCCTGCTTCTGAGAGGGTTCCTCGTTGTCGGAGTAGCGCCTTGCAGGGCTTCCACTCGGGCCCAAGTCCCTGGAGGATGATGTTGACGAAGATCTCCTCCGAGTTAAAACTTCCGTTCTTGATGATTTGATCACGGATGTTCCGACAACGGTTGATGTAGCTGTTTGCTTTCTCCCCGTGCCCCATCTTGGTCTCCATGAGTTGTTGCAGGAGTCTGCTGGCAGTGACGGAATCCTTCGGCTGATATACCTCAACGAGGTGCTTCCAAGCTTCCAGAGCTGGAGCGGCGCTCTCTTTGTAGGAGCGAATGCCGAGCTGTTCTGCGGGTGACATGTTGCGTAGCAGAACGCTGTACGCCATGAGGGACTCACTGTAGTATTGAGCCCGGGCGTCTTCGGTGTCTTCCACCGGTTTAGGATAGGAGCTCAAGCTCAAGTAGTGGTAAATTTGCGCTGTCTGTAGGAGGAGCTCAAGCTCAAAACTCCACGTATAAAAGTCCTTGCCGTCAAACGCGGCGGTAGTCTTGATTTTTGAAATGCTGAGGAAGCGTGCTTGCGCAGAGTTGATTGTCTCGTCGCTTGGACGGGGGGTAGTTGTTGCTAATTTGTCTGAGTCGAGGGAGAAGCCGTGCATGGCGGTATCGCGGCTTTTTGCAGCCGGTTGTCCAGGTTGAGCTGGTTGGGAAGTGGTTCCCGCATCGCCTTTGCGCAAATCTTGGAGTTCTTTCTCCATAGTTGACAGTCGAGCGAATAACTGCTCGAGCGCGGCAGTGCCGATCGTGGTTGTCGCCTCATTTGTCGCAGCCGGGTTGGTTTGTCCTTCGGCCGTTAGATTCGCTTGGCCTCCGGATCCTCCGGCCATCTTGGTCTTGGAGCGTGTGCCGCTCGCCAGATCTGGATTCGGCGAATTTTACGGAAGTGACATTGTGAAGAATCCCTGAGCAGCTCTCATACCATGTTACAATCTGAAGTAAGACTTAGCGAAAGGATCGTTCAGGGTTGATCGCAGGTTGTGTCGCAGCGGAAGTGTTGAACTCAGGTCAGAGTGAATGTAAATGACTGAGATTGATAATAGCATGCATACATTGGGTTTATATAGAAATACAAAGGAATGCGAAACGACCTAGACTAGCCATGTACTCTAAGGGGTACATTCCCTTATTGCAGCGAAATTCAAACCGTGCGGCGCGGGAACCAGTTTCAAACCTGTTCGGGAACCTGTTCGGGAACCTCTTTTAGTTAGAATGTTTCTGCCTGCATCGGTCTTGATCAGACGGTTGCTGTGTCGCTTCGACTCTTCTGACTCCTCGACTTCGTACTCGGTAGAGTCGGCTCCTGCAGCATACAGGAATGCCTTCTCGTAAAACTTCATATCGTAACATATAGCATACAAGATAGAAGGTTGGGAAGTGGATTGTGGGACCAAGTAAGAGAAGGAGCTGTCGAAGAGGGCGGTAGGCTGGAACCCAAATCCGTGCTGTACCCTTCCGTATGTAGACACTACCCTGCACCTCTACTCTTGCAGGCGGCTGCGGTGTGAAGTCGGGATCTACTGTGTAACCGTGCTCGAAGAGTGCTGTGAGAAGTGGATGGCCGGCAGTGACTGTGAGACTAGCGAGCTGGCAACTAGGGCGAGTGAGCGGATCTGCTGCGTTGAGAACGTCTGGCTTGTACTCTATCCTGTGTGGAAACTCCCCACCATGAACTCCATCCATCTAGTCTGGCGACGACTCAGCTGCGGCTATGACTTGAGGAAACGAAGCGAACAGTGGTCCGTACGTGTAACACTATCTGCTCCCTCGAGGTAGCACCTCCACACCTTATACGCATGGATGATCGCTAGCGCCTCCTTGTCGTGAATCGGATAGTTCAGCACCACTCCCCTAAGCTTACGCGACTTGTACGCAATCGGCTGCAACCCGTGCCCCTGGTCCTGAAGAAGTACTGCTCCTATGGCCTGATCTGAAGCGTCGGTCACTACAACGTACGGGCGAGTAGGATCAGGGTACGATAGTGTTGGTGAAGACGTGAGCGACTGCTTCATCTACTCGAAAGCTTGCCGCTGCGCTGGACCCCAAACGTACTCTACGCCTTTCCGAAGTAGGTCAGTGAGTGGACTAGCGATCGAAGCGTAACCCTGAACAAAACGACGGTAATAATTTGCGAGAACGAGGAAGCTCTGCAACTCCTTGACTGAGGTCGGTGCTACCCAATCCTGTACGGCTGCGATCTTCTTCGGGTCGGTCCTAACGCCACTAGCGGATACGGCGTGCCCTAGGAACTCGACCTTGGGGAGAAAAAACTCGCACTTAGACTGCTTCACGTACAACTTCTCCCTTTGCAAAACCTCAAAGACCTTCTGCAAGTGCTGCACGTGCTCCTCATTCGACTTGGAAAAGATGAGGATATCGTCTAGGTAGACAACAACGAACGAACCAAGGAACTCGGAGAGGACGGTGTTAATTAGCATCTGGAATGACGCAGGGGCGTTGGTCAGTCCGAACGGTAGAACCCTAAACTCGTACAACCCCTGCTTCGTACGAAACGCCGTCTTGTGCTGGTCCTTTGGAACTACACGAATCTGATGGTAGCTCGAACGAAGGTCGATCTTGGAGAAGACTCTAGCGCCCTGCACTGCATCTAGAAGATCCTCTACTTTGGGCACCGAGAACCTATTATTGACGGTGGCGGCGTTCAGTAAGCGGTAATCTATGCACATCCGTAACCCTCCGTCTTTCTTAGGCGCGAAGAGATTCGGTGCTGCCCAAGGCGATCTAGATGGCTGTATGAACCCCTGTGCTAGGAAGTGCCTAACCTGCTGCGTCATCTCCTCTGTCTCTGCTGGACTCAACCTCCATTGCGGCTTCGCTACTGGCCCGCTCCCCGTCTCTAACTCGATCCGATGGTCTATTGCTCGGCTGGAAGGTAAGCCTGGGGGCAACTCGTCGGGGAAGACGTCTGCGAACTTTGCTAACAGTGCACGAGAGTCGCCTTCTCACTAACTGCTGCGCTCCCTCCTTTCCCCTCCTCAGCTTCCACCTCCTCAAGGAAAACCGCGAAGATTCGTGATGCGCGCTTCACCAACTGTCGCACACGAACAGCGTTGATGATAGCTGTGGATGATGTGGCCCCATCGCTCCACTGTGGCAGCTCCCGGAACTCCCCGTCTACCTTGACACTGCAGCTTCCCTGAGCCCAATCGAACTGAGTACTAACCATGCGTAGCTAATCATTTCCGAATATAAAATCGTATCCGTCCAGCGTCGCAGAGTCGAAGTCACGTCTAACCGTGATCGGTCCTAGCACTACGCACAATTTGCGGATGATCGGTCCTATGCGAAGTGGCGTCCCATCTACCATGCGAGCATCCTTGAAGTTGACTGCCAAATCTGCTTTGAGATGGAGACGACAAGCTAATGAAGAAGAAACGAACGAGTGGCTAGCTCCACTATCTACAAGAATCTTGACTGAAACTCCGCGAAGCTTCCCTAGAAGCACGACTGGTCGGTCAACAGTGTCTACCTCGTTCTCCGTAGATGACTGCTGCAAGGCCGTCTCCTCTACGTTGGTAGACGTGGCGGGTACGGGAACCTCCACACCAGCTAGCGACCCGCTATCTACTGGCGGTTTCCGTTTCCCTGCTACCGCTCCTTGCACTGTGGACAATCCCGCTTCATGTGACCCGGCTTTTTGCAGTAGTGACAGTTCCCCTTAAAACCGTTGCGCTGTGAGCCGTCACTATTAACTGCACCAATCTCCATGGGCGATGGTCCGTCCCTCGATCGAGTGTCGTTGATCGGTCTGTTGTATCCCCTATTGCGTCACGACCTCGTAGTCTTCGTACTGCGTCGACGCGTTCTGCTGCTGCGACTACCGATTCGAAGGTGGACAATCTGTGAATCGCAATAATCTCCGCTATGTCCGGCTTCAACCCTTCGAGGTAGCGATCGCGCATCTCTGCTTCCGTAATGTCGTCTATCTCGTTGTAGATGCTAAAGAACCGTCGTCTGTACTCCTGAACGTTTCCTATCCATCGGAAATGACGCAGACGCTTCCTAGCAGCTTCGGAGGCGTTCACCAAATCGAACCTACTTTTGAGCACCGCTTCAAATCCTTCCCATGTTGTCGGAACCGTGGTAACACTCAAAGCTAAACTCCGTTGCAGCTGCATGCCCCACGCCCTGTTGATGCCCGTCTAACTGAGCCCTCCGTACAGCAGTCTGCGTAAGTTGGCGCCACCACTCCAAGGCCGGCCCCCTTAACTGCGTCACGGCATACTCGATCCGCTGCTGCGCGTCCGCCTCTTGCACCCCGCTCGCGGCGAAGTAGTTGTTGAGCATGAAGAGCCACGTCCGCACGTTCGCGTCGCGTTGACTTGGGTCGAACGACTCGGGCTTCTGCAGCTTGACTGCGCTTCGACGTTCCGGCAGCGCTTCCGCGCCAGTCGACGTGGTGGGTGCAGGAGTTGGTGCGGCATGACCATGGGGGTTAGAAGCCAAATTGCGAAGTTGTTGCATTTCGGCTCGTACCTGACGATTTTCCAACGTCAGTTGCTCGAGTTGGCGCATGAGCTCGGCAAGCGCATTGCCCATGTCTTAGGAGGGGAGAGCGTTCATGGTCTCGTCCATGTTTGCTCGACGACTCCAAGTCTGCAAGTCGGCACCGCGGGACGATGACGTCGTAGTCTCGTCGTCGACGGTCACTCGTTCGAAGTCGCTCCCTTCGAAGGCTCTTGATACCAAGTGTTAGGCCTGCTGGCCTAAGTCCGCCAAAGATTAGTGGGGTCGACTAAGTCGAGGATAAAATGCGGCGGAAGACTTTGGCGAAATATGCGAAGGAGTTACTGAGTAATGAAAGAGTTGAATGAGACTTTGTTGATATTGGTAGATACAAGCAAGGTTTATAAAGCATGCAAGAAACAAGGTTGGAAAGTGGATTGTGGGACCAAGAATTGGAGTGCAAGAAAAGTAGAGTGACACGTGGCACTAGAAAATCTGAGAAGATAAGGATACGGGTGACTTGAAAAGTACTGTTCGGAATGAACAGTAAACACCCCTCTAACACGGTGGAGCTAACGCGCTCGCGAGGGGTGTGTTATGAGTTGTTACGTGGTGCAATGCGTCTAGGTAGCAAGGATTGCACTAAGTGCAATAATTGAGAGAAGGCATGAGCGGGCTTATTTAGAGAAACATGCAAACGGTGTGCAACGCTGGCAGCGAGGCTCGGGCTAGTCCCGAAGCATAGGCTGATTCGGGCGAGGCCAGCAATGCATGGTTTGGGAATTGTGACCAAGGCTGACGTTATAATAATAATGATGATGATAATAATAACAATAATAATAATAAAAAATAATAATAACAATAATAATAATAATAATAATAATAATAATAATAATAATAATAATAATAATAATAATAACAATAACAACAACAATAATAATAATAATAATATTCGATTATAATTCTGGTAGGGAAAAAAAAGTCTAGTCTGAAGCACATTATCAAGAAATGTTAAATCTCATTTTTCAAGATTCATATAACTTGGACTATATAGGGATCATTGTTATGAATGAACTTGTCAGAGTGCGCAGAATATCGAATAACGAGAATGAGAATTACAGAATGATGAAACATTGAAGTAGCGAGGCCTAATAAGGGAAAAACCTAGCTAGGCGGGGAGGTGGGGAAAGGTTGGCTCGCGAAGGGTCGCGATTGGTGCGGAGGCGGCTCGGTGAGGTTTGGATGCGAAATTGTAGGCCAAACCAATTGGTCGCGTGGCCCTCGGGATGGCCTCGCTAACGAGTGCCTCAGTAAGGATTTGTAAATCCTTACACTCTCCCACCTCCTAAAGAAGGCAGCCCTGTACTGAAATGAGTCCCACTGTAGTGAGGATGCCATGTCAAACTATATGTGCTGCATATTGTGTAGGCTCTAGTGGGGTAGCCCATATGGGGTACAACCTATTTAGGGTTCACAACTAGTACTCCTGCATGCTGCTAGTTCATTCATTCTTGTCTCTAGATTCTGACATGGTTTCAGAGCAGTAGGTCCGTAGGACCGTTTTTTTTTTTCGGGCCCACCTACCGTTGCGGTTACTAAGCTGTCCCACGTGCCTGCGCTGCGCTGCCCGCGCGCGCCCTGCCTTGCCTGCGCTGCGCCCCACGCGCGCGCCCTGCCTTGCCTGCGCTATGCTGCCTTGCCTGCCTTGCCTTGCCTTGCCTGCCTTGCCTGCGCTGCATCGCGCGCGCCCTGCCTTGCCTGCGCTGCGCCCCACGCGTACGCCCTGCCTTGCCTGCGCTGCCCGAGCGCGCCCTGCCTTGCCTGCGCTGCGCCCCACGCGGGCGCCCTGCCTTGCTTGCGCTGCACCCCACGCGCGCGCCCTGCCTTGCCTACGCTGCGCCCCACACGCGCGCCCTGCCTTGCCTGCGCTGCGCTGCCCGCGCGCGCTGCCCTAGAACCGCACGCAGCCCGCTGCTGCCCCGAGCGCCACGTCCGCAGCCCGCAGCTGCCCCGGGCGCCGCGGCTGCCGCCCTCGCGCAGCACGCTGCTGCCCCGCGCGCCGTGTCCGCAGCCCGCTGCTGCCCTGCGCGCCGCGGCTGCAGCCCTCGCGCAGCCCGCTGCTGCCCCGCGCGTCGCGTCCGCCGCCTGCGCAGCCCGCTGCTGCCCCGCGCGTCGCGTCCGCCGCCTGCGCAGCCCGCGGCTGCCCCGCGCGCCGCGTCCGCCGCCCTCGCGCGGCCCGGCGCTGCCCCGCACGCTGCCTCAGCCGCTCGCGCAGCCCGCGGCTGCCCTGCGCGCAGCCTCAACCGCCCTTGCGCGGCCCGCTTCTTCCGCGCGCGCTGCCTCCGCCGCTTGCGCAGCCGGCGGCTGCCCCATGCGACGCCTTACCTGGCCGCGCGCCATCCTACTCTGGCCGCGAGCCGCCCTTCCCCTTACCGTGCACAGCCTTGACTTACCCTAGTGCCTCCTCGCCGCCCTTCCTTCCCTACGGCCTGCCCTACTAGTCGCATGACTTCTCTTCACGGCAGCGGTGGGAGCGGTGGTGGAGGTGGCGTCCGCAGTGGTAGTCGCTTTGGAGCTGCTCGGCACGGAGTTTTTGGCGGCGGCCAGATGCAGCTGCAGCGATGTCCGAGCGAGACCCTTACACCCGCGCAGCTTCGTGAGTGGTACGCTCGTAGGTGTGGTGGCGGTGGCGGTAGTAGCAGTCGCGGTGCAGCTAGTCAGTGCGGAGTTTCTGGCGGTGGCCAGATGCAGCTGCAGCAGCGTCCGCGCGAGACCCTTACACCCCAGCAGCTTCGTGAGTGGTACGCTCAGCATTGTGCGTCTCAGAGAGGTGGCGACGACCGTAGTAGTTGTCGTGGTGGAGCTGGTCAGTGCGGAGTTTCTGGCGGTGGCCAGATGCAGCTGCAGCGGCGCCCGCGCGAGACCCTTACGCCCCGGCAGCTGCATGAGTGGTACGCTCAGAGTTGGGGGTGTAGGACTACTGCTCGCTGCCCGTACGTCATTCGCACAGGTGATCGGGCTGGTCAGACCTGCGGGACAGTTAATCACACAGAGTCCCGCTGCTTTTCCCGTTTGAGCGACGCTTGGCGAGCACGGTTTGGCGACGAGGCTGAGCTACCCCTCTGGCTAGAGCTGCTTCGAGACGGAGTAGATATATTTGCTTTAGACTATGACACTATCCTTACTGCCATGTATGCTGTGACTGGTACTACTTGCTAAGGGTGACTGTTACCTGTGTGTGCCCCCTGACCCTGGTATAGCAGCTGCTGCTCTAGGTGCTAGTGAGTCTGCTCTCTTTGGTACTGCGCCTGCTGAGGCCTTGCACACCTTCACGCTTGACTCAAGTGCTTCAAGCTGTTTCTTTCGAGACAGTACCATAGTCACTCCCCTCCCTGCACCTGTCCCTGTCTCACTGGCTGACCCCTCTGAGGGCCCAGTGCTTGCTCATTCCTCCTCAATGCTTCCGTTTCTGGCGGTCCCGTCCGGTGAGCTGTCAGGTCTCCACATCCCCTCGTTCTCTACGAACCTGGTGAGCAACGCAGTCCTTCAGGATCATTGGGTTGACACCTTTACTCCTGGAGGACAGCGTGTGGCGATCTGCACATGCTCCAAGACTGGCCGCCACCTGGCCACGTTCACTCGTGAGCCTGGGTCCAGTCTGTACACCCTCACCACTGTTTCACGCTACACCCCTTTGTCTCCTCAGCTGTATGCGTCTGCTCAGGTAGCTACCCAGTGTGAGTGTCGCCGCCTGTCGCACGACACTCTCCTGTGGCACCACCGCCTTGGTCACCCCTCCCTGCCTCGCCTTCGTGGCATGCACTCTCGCCTACTGGTCTTCCCAGGTCTCTGCCTGCCCTCCCTCCCTCGCCTGCACCGCCCTGCATTCCTTGCGTCAAGGGGCGGCAGCGCGCCGCTCCTCACTCCTCCTCGTTCCCTCCCACAGAGGCTCCGCTGCATACTATCCATCTCGACATGTGGGGCCCAGCCCGCGTCCAGGGGTAGGGCCGCGAGCGGTACTTCCTGCTGGTTGTCGACGACTACACGCGTTACACCACGGTCTTCCCCTTGCAGCGCAAGGGGGACGTCCCTGATGTTCTGATCCCTTGGATCCGCGCTGTTCGTCTCCAGCTCCGCGAGCGGTTCCGGTCGGACTTTCCTGTCCTGCGTCTGCACTCAGACAACGGTGGTGAGTTCACCTCCGACCTCTTGCGAGCCTTCTGTGAGGAGCACGGCATCCGCCAGACTTTCACGCTTCCGGCCTCTCCGCAGCATAATGGGGTTGCTGAGCGCCGCATTGATTTAGTCATGGAGGTTGCTCGTACCTCCATGATCCATGCGGCGGCTCCCCATTTTCTGTGGCCGTTTGCGGTCCGGTACGCCGCGCATCAGCTCAACCTCTGGCCCCGTGTCTCCTTGCCGGAGACCTCGCCCACACTGCTGTGGACAGGGGAGGTTGGCGATGCGTCGCGTTTCCGGGTCTGGGGTGCTCGTGCCTTTGTCCGCGATCTCACCACGGACAAGCTCTCCGCTCGCGCCATTCCCTGCGTCTTCCTTGGTTTCCCTCCTGACGCGCCTGGCTGGCAGTTTTACGACCCCGCCTCGCGCCGTGTCTTTGCATCTCAGGACGTCACCTTTGACAAGCCAGTCCCCTTTTACCGTCTCTTTCCCTACCGCACTGCCCCTCGCCCCCCCTCGCCGCTCATTTTCGCTCCACATCCTCCCCAGGTAGACCCCCTCCCCGCGCCAGGTCCTGCTCCTTCAGGTGTTTCTCAGGTAGACCCTCCTGTGCCTGCGCCTGTTGAGGTCACTGGTGACTCCGGTCCTGCTGGGGGTGGTCCTGCTCGGGGTGCTGTCTCTGGGGGTGCTGGACCTGGTGGTGCGGAGCCTGGGGGTGCTGAGCCTGGGGGTGCGGAGCCTGAGTGTGAGGAGCCTGGGGGTACTAGACCTGAGAGTGAGGAGCCTGGGGGTGCTGAGTGAGAGGGTGCTGAGCCTGGAGGTGCTGAGCCTGAGCGTGAGGAGACTGGAGGTACTGCGCCTGGGGGTGCTGCGTCTGGGGGTGCTGAGTCTGGGGGTGCGGCGCCTGAGGGTACTGAGACTGCTGGTGCGCGGTCTCCGTTGAGTTGCCGCCTTCGTCCGCGTACGCCTCTCACCTCACAGCAGCTGCACGACTGGTACGGTCGCCGTCAGGGTCGCGCTGCTGGAGCTCGGGGCTCCGCCGTCTCCGTCGTCTCAGCCACCGCCTGACTCTGTGCTTCGCCAGGTTCTTAGCCTCCCGTCTTCTACTGGTCTTCCATTACAGCCTGGCTCACCGCTGCCTGCTCCTTGTCCTTACACTAAGCAGCCAAAGGGTCTTGCTGAGCGTCGTGAGCCTGCGTCGCGTCCTGTCTCGCCTGTTCGTTCTGGTCGTACCGGTCGTCGTGTTCCTCGTCCGCGTCCGCCGGCTGTCCCCGGCACGCCCCTCTTAGCCCTTCGTCCTTCCTCTTCTCCGCAAGGTGTTCCTCTGCCGTCTCCCCCTGCGTCCTCTCTGCCTGACGTTGCGGACCCTGAGTCTGGCCGGTTTCGTGCTGCTCACCCTACTGTCACGCGTCTGTTAGCCACGGTTGTCACTGACCCGTCGTTTTGTTGGTGTAAGGGCCTAATAAACTCAAGCTATTAGGACTTAATCAAACTTAAAACCTCTCCTCGGGGTCACCTCCAAGGGTCCCTGGGTGCCTGGTACAAGACCAGCCCCTATCCTCGGGTCCGAGTTTGTAGAGAGAGGGATCAAGAAGGACTTAGTCAAAACAGCAAGAGTACCTTGAACGTCGCGCAGCGTGCCGTGCAGACCGTCGATCGGATTAAGCTGAGAATTCGCTATATCGAAGCTCGCTCCAAGAGCTTTAAAATGAGCCAAGTTGCCTCGCGAAAAGTTCTGCCATTACTAAGTTATGGCTCGGACAGCGTTTGCCTAGCGTTGGAGTGCTAGCATACTAGCGTTGACTCGGGTAGCATTCCGCCGTCGAATAGCGCAGAAATGAAATTCCAGCGAGGAAGGAATTCACATGAATCAATTTGACTATATTCAGGTACAAACAGAGAAGGATTAAATAGTTCTAGCTAGCAAGGACCTTGGGAATCAACCTGGGAACAACCAGGGATGATCCCAAATAATTCCAAGCAACAGAACCAACCTGGCTGGACAAAATAGCAGGTGGTAGGTTGGTAAACAACCTCTGGTTCTGTTTTTCCAACCTGGGAAAACAACAACCAGGTTCAGGTTCTAAAAACAGAACCTGTTTTGTCTTTGCCCAACCAGCCAAATGCTGGTTCCGCTGGTTTCCCCTGGCCTTGTAGCATGCAGATACAGACAAACAACATCCAACCTTCACCTAAATTGTACCCCTATAGTGCCTTCCCTGCTACACTATAGTTAACCAAACAAAACAGTACAATTTCGAGTTGGATAGAACTGAATCTGCGCAATCAACTCAACCGAACTGCAAAGCTTCCATCTTGGGTTCCTTTGCGAGCTCGTCCTTTCTGCTTGCACTGTTCATAGCGCGTACAATGTTGTGCCGAAGCGCACATTGCGCGAGTACCTGCAAATGCATCAAGCGAAAAAATGCGAAAGCAAACAAACACACGAACACACCATTCACACGCAAATGCATTCGCACACGCATACTCGTACAAACAGACGGCAGGATGTCGTGCAATGTGCATTTGCACCCAACACACTCCCCCTCAGCCTGCCGGCTGCATCCCCGTCATTCCATGCTAGTTCATGCTCATTCCACTCATGCGCACACAACGCCAATGAGGCTCATCCGCAAGCCTCTTGGTGAGAAAGTCTGCTGGCTGCTGGTGAGTCTTGATGTAGATTGGATTCACCGTCCCCCTCTTCACCTCCTTACGCAGCCAGTGCCACTTGATACGCATGTGCTTGTTCAGCCCATGAAGCACAGCGTTTCTGGCCATCCCAAGAGCCCCCTTGCTATCACAAAACAGCGGCGTAGCAACTTTCTGCTCCTGGCCAATCTCCTCTAACAGCCTCCTCAGCCAAATTACCTCCTTCACCCCATGGAACATCGCCATGTACTCTGATTCTACGGAAGAGAGTGCCGTCTCCGTCTGCTTCTTGGACCTCCAACTAACAGGTCCTCCCCCAACTACGCAGATGTATCCTCCCACAGATGAGGAATCCTCCTTCTCAGAAGCCCATGTAGCATCGGTAAAGCAAGTGAGAAATAGCTTGCCTTCTCCAAGCCTCTCCCCCTTCTCTTTCAGCACCTCCACCCCTTTCTGCTTCACCTGTGCAGATGCGGAGTATTGAACTCCAATGCTTGGGTGAGAGTTCAGGTACTTCACCACACGCTCAGCTGCATCCACCTGCTCCTCTGATGGATTCTGCACCACCCTAGCCAGCTGCCCAACTGAGAAAGAGATGTCGGGCCTCGTGTGAACTGCTGCGTACAAGAGGCTGCCCACCAAGGACTGAAATTGCTGCTGCTCTTCAGCTTCAACCCCTTCATCCTCTGCAGCCTTCACAAGCTTGAATTCTGCTGGCAGGGGAGTTGCAACCTTGCGCTCATTCTCAATCCTATACTTCTCCCCCAGCTCCTTGATGAACTTCTCCTGGTGCAGCTTCAACCACCTGTGATCTGGATCCCTCTCCACGTGCATCCCGAGGTAGTACTTTACCTCCCCAAGGTTCTTGCACTTGAAGTTTTCCATCAGTTGCTGCTGCACTTTCTGGATCTCCTTCATGCTGCTGCTGAAGAGAAGAATGTCGTCCACATAGACCAGAAACAGCACCAGCTTCTCCCCCTCGCCCTTGAGAAAGAGGCTCTCATCACAGCTGCTGGTCCTGAATCCCATCTCCTCTAAAACAGCTGCCAACTTCTGGTACCAGCAGCGTGGCGCCTGCTTCAAGCCGTAGATGGACTTGTTGAGCTTGCACACCCTGCCCGTACCATCCTCATACCCAGGCGGCTGCGTCATGTACACATCCTCCTCTAAAATCCCATTCAGGAATGCCGTTGAAATATCCATCTGAATGATGAATTTCCCACTAACAGCTGCATCTGCCAACAAGACACGGAGGGTAGGGGGTTTGGCAGTGGGAGCAAAGATCTCGTTGAAGTCCTGCTTCTCCTTCTGCATAAACCCCTTCGCCACCAGCCTACTCTTGTAGATGGTGACCTGCCCCTTGTCATCGGTCTTGATCCTCAGCACCCACTTGCATTGTATCGCTTTCTTCCCATCAGGCAGCACCACCAGATCCCATGTCCTATTCTCCAGCAGACTCTGGTACTCAGCATCCCTAGAAGCCAGCCACTTGTCCCTATCTGGTCCAGCTAATGCCTCCTCCATGCTAGCTGGTTCCTCTAGTGCAGGGGCAAGAAAACAGTACGCAGGCTCATCCTCCTCATCCGGGTCATAGCCATGAGGTAGAATCAGCAATGCCTCTTCGGTCCCTAGCTGCTGCTCTGCTGCATCAGTTCCTGCAGTCAGCTTCTTAGTAGCCATACGGGTACGTCCTGGCCTGGAGACGGGTGTCTCCCATCCCTTCATAACGACACCCTTCGGCTTCTTAGTTTTTCCCTGCTGCTTCTCTCCTCCCTCGGGTCCAGCAGCTCCACTAGTGCTGCCGCCAGTTTCCACACCATTTTCTCCACCAGCAGATGCCTCCTGTACCTTCTCTCCATCACCATTTCCAGCAGCTGCCTCCTCTCCCTCCTCCCACACACTAGGAGTCAGGTCCAGCTGCATGGTGATCTGCTCCATCTGCTGGGACACCCTTGCCTCCGGCTGTTTCTCCCAGCTCCCATACATCATGCCCTCAATGAATTTCACATCCCTGCTGTCAAACAACACACCCTTGGATGGTTCCCACAGCAGCCATCCCTTGCTCTCAGCAGCCAGCCCCAAATGCACACACCAGATTGCACTCGCCCCCAACTTACTGCGGTAGGTCTTGGGGACGTGGGCGACTGCCATGCAACCGAACACCCTCAGCATGTCCACCGGCGGCTTCCTCCCAAGCCACCTCTCCAAAGGCACCCACGAGTCATCCCCAACCTTGGTGAGCACCCTGTTCCTAGCGACAGTGGCGTGCCGGACAGCATGAGGCCACATAGAGTTGCTCAGCCCAGATTCTATGAGCAGCGCCCTAGCTGTCTCCAGAATGGTCCGGTTTGCCCGTTCTGCTACACCATTGGACTGTGGGGTATAAGCCGTGGTCAGCTCTCTCTGGATGCCCTGCTTCTTGAGCCAGGCCGTCATTTCAGCTCCAAGGAACTCACCACCCCGGTCTGTCCTAATCCGCTTCACTACACACTCCGCCTGCTTCTCCACGAATGGCAGCCAATCGTCCCGTATCGTGGAGGCGGCGTGGTCCTTCTGCTTCAGCGGATACGCCCACATCAGCCTGCTCCAGTCATCCACAATTGTAAGAAAATACCGCTCCCCCTTGTGCCCTTGCACCGGCAGCGGCCCCACCAAGTCCATGTGGACCAGCTCCAAAGGCTTCTTGCTCCTGCCAGCCACACTATGGAAAGGGAAACGGGTGAACTTTGAAAGCAAACAGATTTCACAGTTGTCATCGGGTGGCTGTCCGTTCAGCTTCAGACCCTTAACGGCTCCATCCTTCTCCAGCTGCTTCAGCAAAGGCATTGCCACATGCCCTAAGCGCCGGTGTGCCGTTGCCCAATCTGTCTCCCCAGATCTGGCCGACACTTTCACACCAACCCCTCCAACGGCATTGCACTCCCCCTGGGATGCAGACCCCTCTCCAGCCTGCCCCCCACCATGCCACGCCAGGGCCGGCAGCTGCCACATAGATCTGTACACGTCCTTGCTCTCGTGCAGATCCCAAAGCACCCGATTGCCCAGCTTCCCCTTATAAGTGCGTGCCCCATCCGTGTTGGTGTTCACCCCAGCCTTGCCAAGCTTACGGAGGGAGATAAGGTTGGCCTTCAGGTCGGGGACGAAGAGAA